GCAGGAACCAGATGGCGCCTTCAACCCGCCGAGAAATCTTTTTAACGCGATCAACCAGTTCTTAGGCATATTTACTACTTCCTACCTATTACTGAAGTAAAACAGCTGAACAGATTTCAAAAGGCAGCTCAAGGGGACAACGTATTATAATGGAAAAAAGAGCTAGAGTTGGCAAATTAAGGGGGGAGAACACACTCTGCATTTCTCAAGCTGAAAGGATCAAAGGAAAAAATGCAAGCCGAGTTGTAATATTGAAGATTCCTCTTTGGGCAATACCCTGAACCAATGCAGGAAGGAACTAAAGGAGATGAGATGGAAGGACCAGAGTCACTGTATCAAAAATAACTGGTTGATGTTCAGCCATTTCAGGAGGTAGCGTATGATCAAGAACCAATGGCATTAAGTAAGTCCAAGCTACACTGAAGGAATGGCAAAAAAAAAAAACCTCCAGGAATTGACAGAACACCCACTGAGATGTTTCCACAAATGGATGCAGCACTGGAGGCACTCACTCATTTATGCCAAGAGAGTAGGAAGACAGCTATGTGGCCAACTGACGAGAAGAGAGCCACATGTGTGCCCATTCCAAAGAAAGGTGATTCAACAGAATGTGGAAATTACCGAATAGCAAGTCCATTTAAAGTCCCAAAGTCAGCAGAGCATGGCAGGCTGCTGAACAAGGACATGGCTACATGCAGGGTTCAAGTGTGCCATAAGCTAGGACCATTCTCAAAGCTGCTGCTTATATACGGGAAGCAGACCACATTCCTAAGGCAGCTTCTCAGCTGCTCACAGTAGTTCCACCATGGAGTTGATTACCAGTCTCATCACGGTAGAGAGTGCACTTTTTAAAATCAGGAAGGGAGTGCACTAGGGTTGTATCCTTTCACCACAGGTATTCAATCTGTATGCTGATCAAATCATCCGAGCAACTGGACTACATGAAGAATGAGGCATCAGGATTGGAAGAAGACTCATTAATAACCTGCAATATGCAGATGATACAGCCTTGCTTTTTGAAAGTGAAGAAGACTTGAAGCGCCTTCTGATGAAGATCAAAGACTACAGCCTTCAGTATGCTTTATACCTCAACACAAACTGAAAAAAAAAAATCCTCACTAGACCAATAAGCAACATCACGATAAATGGAGAAAAGATTGATGTTGTCAGGGATTTCATTTTACCTGGATTCACAATCAACACCCATGGAAGCAGCAATCAAGAAATAAAATGTTTTGCACTGGGCAAATCTGCTGCAAAAGATCTTTTTTAAAGTGTTCAAGAGCAAAGATGTCACTTTGAGGACTAAGGTGCACCTGTCTCAAGCCATGGTATTTTCATATACCATGCATGCAAAAGCTGGACATTGAATAAGGAAGATCGAAGAACTGATGACTTTGAATTATGATGTTGGCAAAGAATACTGACAGTTATCGAGGACAAACATATCTGTCTTACAAGTGCAGCCAGAATGCTCCTTGGAAGCAAGAATGGCCAGACTTAGTCTCCTTTTTGGTCCTGTTGTCAGAAGAGCCCGTTCCCTGGAGAATGACAGCATGCTTGGTAGAGGGTCAGTGAAAAAGAGGAAGACCCCTCAACCAGATGGATTGACACTGTGGCTGGGACAATGGGCTCAAGCATAGCAATGATCGTGATGGCACAGACCAGGCAGTGCCTCACTGGGTTGCACATCGGGGCGCTGGGAGTCAGAACCCAGTCAACGGCACCTAAAACCATCATGCTCCAGCCAACAAGGTCAGTGACCTCTGTCACCACATAACAAGAATCTACTCCAGTTCCCTGTGAGATCTTCAAGACCTTCCTGCAACCTTTCACTTCATCCCCCCAAGTCCCTGAAGAGCCCAACATTTCTTTCCTGGCTCTCAAGCTTTCACACACACTCCTCAAAGCACCCACAGCTTCCAAGGTTTTTATTTCACCCTGTGGGGTGAAAGCTTTCCCCAGAGAGCACAGCTCTGCTCAAACATGACCTCAGCAGACGTCCGCTGACCACTCCATAAAGCCTCAGCTCCCCAGCACGGTCATTCTCCACGCCCTCTATCTGGTTTCACTGTCACTTATCACTGACCCTGACGTTGCAGCTGCTTGTCTGTTGCTTTACTGTAATCTCCCCAAGGCCGTGGCCAAGGACTCTGGGGCATTCTGCTTCCTGGTATATCCTGTGTCTACTAGATCGTGCCTGGCACACAGGATGAGCTCAATAAATGTGTACGCGAACAAGGGCTTCTACCCTTTGGAAATACCTTTGAGTAAGAGACCCTGGCCAACCTTTGCCTGGAGTCCAAGCTCACACCTAAGGCAGTGTTCTTAGGGCATCTGGCCATGGTTGGGGGCTGGCAGCATGTCTGCAGGCGGAGCAGGCAGGGCCCAAGGGTGCAATTGTGAGAGACAGACTGGAAGAGAGGGCATCCCCCCACACGCCCCCAAGGTACATACTTGCTCTGCCCCCTGACAGCCTGTGCAGCCCTGCTTTTGTCACAGGGGACCAGGAGGAAGCTGTAAACCAGTACACAGCCAATAAGCCCTGGCTTCCTGAGCCCGCTGCTGATGTGTGCCATGGAGTCGATCCCACCTCCCACCAATCCTATATACTGTCTGAGGGCTTCCTGGCTATGATCTTTACAGAAGTCAATCACCAGGCTTTCTCCTGCACAGCAGCTGGGGGGTTCCAATCGTGAGCATTTCAGTCAGCAGCCACGCACTTAGCTAATGACCCACCAAGGCTCCTTCTGTATAAGCCTACTGGGCACAAGCTCCCTGTGAGCGGGAGGCCCCTGCACGGGGAGCACACACTAAACACAGGGCCGAGGCTGCACCGAGGTGATGTGGCCCCCAGCTGCACCCTGGCCCAGGTGTGCATTCAGCTCTGAGTGGACCCCACGAAGCCAGCAGGGGCTGGCAGCAGGCAAGCAGTGTCAAGGGTCAGCCAGGCCATGCAGCCACTCCCCCAACACAAGCCTCACATGTGAGGCCTGCGTCCCCTATGCCCCACAAGCTGTTGTTACAGCAGGCGACTGAGTTGGCAATCCAGTCATTCAGGTGAAGGTTCTTTTCTCTTTATTTCTGTAATATCAATCCATACAAAAGCAATAGAAACACAGCAGTGTTAACAAGTTTACAAGCAACTATATGAACAGAAGCTCTGTACACATTATCATTTACAGCAATCTTACATGTAAATTAACTGATTGTTAAGGAAAAAAAAAAGTTCTTTCTCCATCCCTTCCATTGCCTTAACTCTTGGAATATTCTAAGTAGCAGAGCCAGCACTATTTACAAGCACCAAATTCAGACTGTATAATTTACACAAAAGCCTCTCATTTTAACAGCTCTGCTTCCTACCTTGGACTATTCAGTGCTTTGCCAGACCAAACCACCAACCTTGACATCCTGACCAACAGCCAAGAGTGAGGTTTCTGTGATGACAATAAAGGTCCCCAATGCCCAAATAACGTCATCAGAACCAATAAAGCAGCGCTGACTCCAGGCTGGTTCCACAGATGGACAGTAAAATCCAAGAGTAACCCACTGCACTTTGATACATGAAGCACTGTCGAGAACCAATTCAAGCACGCTTGTCAGGTGAACTTGGAGGCTGATAGAGATTTCAGCAATTAAGCTGTTTCAAGACTGCTTTAAGTCCAATCTTTCTTGAATTTGGCTTCCTTTACAATTTAAAACATGCAAACAACACTCATACATAAAATTACACCCAGAAACACTACATGACTAAGATTATACTCGTGCAGGAACAGCCAGAGAATTCAAAGTACCAGCTAATTAAAAGTCATGGGCAACAGCAAATTCCATCTTAAGCTGGAAGTGCCAGGTTCAATCGATTGAACATCCCGCCAAATCAGAAGCAAGTAGACTGCACACCTCCGAGCCCAGCCGCCTCCACTCTGACCCGAGCAGTGTGTGGGCGAGCACTTGATTCCACACACAGCTGCCTGGTGGGGCAGTCATAGCACTGAGCACCCCAGGGACGAGGGGAGCTGCTTCGGCCTCTGGTCAGCCAGGAGACGCTGGGAACTGAGGACAGCCCTTTCCTGAGAGCACTTCACCCCTGAAAACAGGGACCATGCCTCCACCTCTTAACTGTCAGGAATCACGTGAGACACAAGAGCCCTGGACACTTCACTCCTAAGTGGGATGGGTCCTAGTGAATCACGCTGCAAAAAGGGATCACATACACTATTTACAAGACATTGTACAAAACACCAAGTTTGGGTGTGCACGCTCATGTAACATTCTGAGCACAGACAAATGGTTCAACAAAACTACGTACAGCAGCCACTTTGGGGCAGGGACAGTGTCTAATCTGAGTTCTGGATGCTTTAATGAACACAGATGCCTTCTGCATTAAAAAAATCTCACCAAAAGGCCACATGTTCAAATGTGTGCATTCATAGAGCTTAAACCAATTTAACGTCCAATACATTTTACTAGTTAAAACCAACGTTTTCATTAAGCTGCTATTAACGGTAGTGAAATGTTTTGGGAAAGGACAGTGATGATAATGGCACAACGTGCAAAGTGCAATAAATGCACCTAAACTGTCACATGGAAGCTGCTGTAGTGGTGAATGCTCTGGGGTGTACATTTTCACCACAATTAGAAAACAAACAAAAGCCTCAACATTTTACTGTAAATGTAAAAGAAAAAATCCTTACAATGGAGAAATGTGGCAGATTTTGCCTGAATTTGCTATCATATTTAACATCACCAATGCCAGGCCCATTGTCGTGTTCTTGCCAAAATGGTGCAATCTGAAACGAATCTTAAAGAAACAACCTGACAACTCCAAATTAAGGAACATGCTGCACAAAAATGAGCCTGAACACCTTAAAAAGAAAATGTCTTGGGGAAAAATGGCAGGAGACTGTTCTAGGTTAAAGGAAACAGAGACTCAGCATTTGAATATGTGATCCCTGATCAGACCCTGGATCAAAACAGTAACCAAAGAGCTGCTGAGGGCATTACTGGGACAACCGGGAGACCGGGATCGGGGCTGTTCCTGAGACCACTTCACCCCCAGAGAACGGGGGCCATGCCTCCACTGGACAGCAGTGTTTGGTCAATGCTGCCTTTCCTGAGCGTGACAATCGCATGGTGGCCACGTCCACGTCCAGAACATCCTGAATCTTAGGAGAGAAAAGTGGCAGTATTCAGTGGGCAGCGCCACCTCTCCTGGTGGCTCAGGAGTACGTGGCACCCAAAGGAGGTTCCACACACGTGCACAGTGCTACAGATTTGACATTCACCACAAAAACGTCTGGAGTAGAGTGTACGTACAACTCTCTTACCCAGGCCTCCTGCCCACCTCTGGCATATCCAGTATCTCTCCCCCAGTCCATGCTTCTCCGTCTGTAGAGAAATGAGTCCCCTGACGTAGCACTTTGCCTTGGTCCTTTAGAAAAACACCGTAAGAGGCGTTTCCCCTAGGCCCCGAGGAGTTACCCTTGCCTGAGCTTTCCAGCCCAGAGTGCCCTGGGTTGTAGCTTGCCCTGAGCCTGGTGTGCACCTTGCAGGAACCGGTCAATACACCCATGCAAATCAAGTTACTACAGCTTACTACGCAAATGAAATGTGTGTGATCCTTGAGGAGATTCCAGGGAGACTGGTCAGTCCTTAGCCCTGATAGGAAAGCCAGGCTGTGAAACTGACAAGCAGTCTGTGTGTCTGTGCAGCCAGCCCCACTGAGGGTTTTCAAACAGAGAGGAAGAGGAGGACAGGAAGCAGGTGGAGGCACCAGGAAGGAACAGCAGCAGCAGAGAGCGGAGGCAAGGAGCCCTTTCAAAGACTAACATGAGTCAAGGGCTGCAGCCTGAGGATGGCAGGGCCAAAAGGAGTGGGACAGCTGTCCTGCCCTGGAGAAGGGAGACTGTGCCTACACGCCTCCTGATCCTGCTCCTGAGTTATACCCCATGACTTCCTTAATAAGCCATTTACTGTAAGTATGGTCTATGAGTTCTGTGTAGTCACTGCAACAGATTATCCAACACTGCAGAGAAGTAGCAGCTGGCCGTGGGAGGGCCAACTGGTGTACCAATTGGTAAAAAGGCTGGAGGGCAGAGAATGTCTGACTCTGCCCACAGGGGTCAGCCTCGGGTTCCTCTTGATCTGCGTGACCATCCCCCTGAAGTTAGACAGGTTCTGACACTACTACTTCCACTATTTTACATCGTCCCTGTACCCCAACCTCTGCTGGTCTGCCCCTCACCCTGTGCCTTTTCCTCTCCCCTCTACTTCCCCCTAGGGCCTCTCATCTACTGCAAATTTCTAGAATGGCACTGGCATGTGCATAATCTGGTTCTCAAACTAGGTAGGAATCATTGTGTATTTTCAGTATTACAAACATGGCTCTTCATCCACACCGAGGACGATCCCCTGTGTGATCCAGCTCTGTTTCTTTTTCAAGCCTGTCTTGTGCCCTCGTCATAGTGCACAAAACTGACAAGCCACAAAACTGGGCTCATCACAGTTATGTTGTTGTTGTTGTTATGTGCCGTCGAGTCAGACCTGACCATAGCGACCCATCCTTGGGTTTCCGAGGCAGTATCACTACGGAAGTAGGCTTGCCCAACCTTCCTTCCGAGGAGTGGCTGGTGGGTTTGAACCGCCAGCCTTCTGGTTAGCAGTCAAGTGCCTTAGCCACTATGCTACCAGAGCTCCCCATCACAGTAAGCACCTTGTTTTCACTTATTTTTACCATTTTCCCATGGAACTAGAGAGCCTCTGGAAACAATCTGGAGCAGCGATACTGCTGAAGAGGCCAACAACCCTGCCATTCTTTCCCTGTTGGGCATCTACGTTACTTACAGTTTTTCAGTTACAAAAAAACACTGTAGCATGCGGTTAACAACACTGGAAGGACACCCACCAAATTCTCCAGACGGAAGCAAGGTGGGTCAAGGTGGCTTTCTACCTTTATTTTATATGCCTCTCAACTGTTTAAACATATTAAGTCGTATAAAAGCATGACTATTTTACATTATTTTTGTTTTCTAGTTTTGTGGCCTTTCTTTTCACTTAACATGTTAGCTATTTCCATATGTAAATACTAGGGTGACCTTTAAGAAAATAACAAAGGGATCCTTTTACTGTAAACTGCCGACATACATTTACCTGGACATACGCAGACACCCAATCATAACCACAGAATTAGTGGGGAAGAATTTTTCTACAGTGCTTTTGATCTTCAATTTTCTTTCCCTAAAATTTTAAACTGGCCAATGAGGAGGCGGTGCCTCAGGCACACAGCATCTCCTATTGGGTAACAATGAGCAGATGATTTCCTGCTAGCGATTCACCAATGCAAACACTGCACACTTACTATATTAAATGTAGTGATAGTGCATGAATCCGCCTGGAATCGAGGAGAAAAGGCCTGACTTTTCAGTGAAAATGCTGGGATTGATCAGTCTGATCCTGCCTGCGATGTGGTAAATTACTTAGTGTGGCTTTTCTACCCATAAGTCTTTGTAAACTCCGAGGTGGAATTTGCCATGAGCAACTGAGGAGCTCCTGATTGCTAAAGCTGTCCACCTGGGGTATTTCCATTGGGAGTGGCACAAAACAATGTTCTGGGAGGTTGCTGTTCTCTCTCAGGTGTTTAGAATTCTGATGTTATGATTGATTGGTTTGGCCACTCTGCCGGGCCCAAAAGGAGGGCTCCTAGAGGCAGAACTCTCTCTGACTGATGACTGAGGAAGGACGCACCCGAGAGACACGCACTGCTGGGAAAGAGATGCAAGAGACACGCGTTGCTGAGAGAGATACCAAGGTACATGCACTGCTGGGAGAGACACTGTGAGAGATTGTTGGCTGAAAGACAGCGGGCTGGGAGAGAGACTGAGCGTTTTTCCTGAACTTGAATTGTAGCCTGGTGCTTCCTGTGGCCACTGCAGTGAATTATAGAACCCAGTAGAGAGGTTAGTGAGTGCTTTGGGAGGAACTGTTGGTGAAATGGCTGGAGGGAGGCGCATGTCTGGCCCTGCAGTAATAGGCCTTGGGCTATTGATGATGATTCTGTCTTCCTCTTGTGGGGTTAGAGGCGGTCAGAACATGGGGCCTCCTTGCCCCTTTTGCACTACCGAAATCCTCCGTTGAAGTCAACACCCATGAAGTCACTCTTAGATCAAATCTGACATTTCACTGATTGGAAACGTGGTAAGGAGCTGTATTTTCATAAGCATCCCAATCAAACTCCAGCCTGAACTATAACCTGTACCTTGGCATGTACTGTTAGCAATGAGGCTGGGGCACCCGAACTGAAGGGATAATCAAGGAGGTACTCACAAAGTTGTCCTGGGAGTTCGTCTGGGACTCTGAGCTGCTGTCTGTTGACTCCATCTCCACCTCACCCAGGTCCACAGGATGTCTGTTACATGAAATCAATGGGAACATCAAGGCCCGTTGAACAAAGCCAGGAGAAACGTTCTTTAGGTATGCATGCTAAACCCAACACCACACATAGTGTGGCCCCTCAGGGCACGAGGATGGTTCTAAGCTCCCTGAGGGGTGACCGTTTCCACTGGCTCACCACCTACCAGAAAGAAAGCTGGCAGCAACAAGCTCAGCTGGCCCAGAGCAGACCAAGCTACCTTCTCTCCCATCTCAGCCCATCTATATACCCCCAACAAGCATCACAACTAGTAGAAGCATTAATAAGCCCAAGTTTTTTAGGAGTATGAACCCTGATAAACTACACTACACACAAATACACTAATACTAATTTTCCCAATTCCCTATTCATTAAGAGAATGGGACAACAGGATCACATTGGGAAAGGAATCTGTCTGACATCGCAGAGGCCCAATCTGTAAAGCCCTGTTAGAAATCATTCCAAACATTTCTGCTTTGAGAAGCAAAGCAGAAACTCCAAGATGTGTTGAAGGAGTAAATGTGTCTCTGAACTCTCTCAGAGGGGGTGGTCCAGGAGAGGAGGAAGCTGAGAACCAACACACACCAATGCCACAGAGCACGCAGCTACTCCCTCTGCTCCCTGGTCAACAGGGATGTGTAGCACCCACAAAATCCAGGCTGGAGGCACTTTCAACCAGGCAGAAGTTTGAAAACCAATGAAAAAATCAAAAAGCCCTCTTCAATTAACAAAGACCTTTAACCCCTGAAAACATTATGTTGAACGAAATCAGTCAGTCACAAGAGGACAGATACAGTATGACCTCACCCTCATCAAAGAAGCAAATAAAGAGCCCAAAGATTATGAGTGGTTACCAAGGGTGGGAGAGAGGACACTTTGCTCAGGGACACTGAGTTATATTAACAGTGGCAGAACACCTTTAAAAGCACCGTGAGAAAGACTGCAGAATCTGAAGAATGTAACCAATGCCACTTGAATTATACAGGCAGGAACGGTGGGACTAACATATTCTTTGTTGTCTATAATTTTACCACAACTAAAAAATAAAAAACTTTGGTAATTTTATTAAATATGAATGATTCAAACACTTTTTAGAAGGTGCATATGCCCCCAAAAGACATGTAGCTCTAGATATACTGAGCTCTCTTCTAGCTACAAAAACAGTCAGTTCAACCCAAAAAGCAAACTCTCCTTTGCCCCTTCCGGAGTCCACCCACCCGGCACCAAGACGATGAGCCTGAAGCTGTGGCAGTTGGCTGCTTTGCTCCCTTGGACCTTTAGGGGACTAAGGACCATGATAACCTGCCACCTGAGTGCCACACAGAGCTCTTTAAATCGTGCCACAGATCAGAGAAGCAGAACAAGCTAGAGACATACATGTCCTGCAGATCACACCCCTCTTCGGCCGGAGGGTCCCAGAAGTGCAGCGCAACTTTCCAGAGTCTGATCTGCTGGTCCCACGATCTCCGGCTGTACTTCTTAAACTTGTTTGGGGTCTTGGGGTGTACACCAGGCTGTCGAAGGTGCCTACAGGAGAGAGAGATGACCTCAACAACCTGTTCACACCTTCACATGGAGGCATTATGGCTCAAGAGTTTGAAGATGAATCAAACTGGGACCAGCATCACTAACAAAATTACCAATCACAGGAGAGTCTACAAAATAAGAAAACATTACAAAAGCACGGCTTCTCCATGTCTTACTACTCCTTTCTGATTTAAGTTCCAGAAAACTAAGTCTTTAACCCCGATCCTGCCAAGAGGCTGATAAGAGTCTGAAGGTTTCTTTTTACCCTTTTGTGTCCGTTTGGGAGGGAGGGAGACAGGCAAGCATGCACTGCTTACACAAACAGAGCAATTTTAACGTTCTCCACTTAGATCTTTCAACCTTGAACTTCAACTTGACTTCTTCTCCTTCATCTATTTTAATGGAGCGTTGGTGGAGTAGTGCCTAAGACATCTGACTGCTAACCAGAAGGCTGGCAGTTCAAACCCACCAGCCAATCGTTTTGTGTCAATCAAGTTGCTATGAGGAGAAATGAAATGTTATGTAACAGTCAAAATTATGAAAATAAATTTTTTTCTACACCTTCATGTCCTTGATTTTCCAGTTACCAACGGATTGCTTATTTTTGCTTACATAATAACTAGTCTTAAGTCATTGATAAATGGTTCTTAAACTGAACTTGTGGTTAAGTTCATTTCGACTCATAGCGACTCTGTAGAACAGAGCAGCACTGCCCCATAGGGACTGCCACTTAGGGTTTCCAAGACTATAATATTTACAGGAACAGACTCCTAAGGCCTTTTCTCCCTCAGAACGGCAGGTGGGTTCGAACCGCCGACCTTTCAGTTAGCAATCAAGTGCTTAACCACTGTACCAAATGAGATCCTTAAATGGTTCTCAGCAGGTCTTAATTATTCACATGACCAGATTTTCTATGTGAACAGGTCTTTAGAAGTACCATGACCAGAACTTATTCAGAATGTGCCAAAGAGACAGCCACCTTGGCACTTCTTTAATGTAGCGATCATAGGCGATGGTGTTCTTCCCATAGTTGATCTGCTTCTGTCTTCTCATCAGCACACTCTCATCTGTCTCCAGGTCAGCGGGCACAGCAGACACAGACTCCTTGGAATCAGAGCTGAAGGAAACAAGAGATGAACAGGAGCATCTTCTCAGATCATAATGCTATCAAATTAGAAATGAATAATAGGAAGATCAGCA